CTAGATTTGAGAAGGATATATGGTTTTTGTTGCCGTTGCGTCCGTCGTCCACCGGAAGTAGTTTAAAAATATGCAAAATTTTATTTTTTTCTTTTTAAAATGTTTCTTATGAAGGCAAATAGAATGTCTCATGTAATATTATGTCCACCGGAAGTTATTTTTCCCAAACCGGAAGTAGTCCAAAAAATGAGCATTTTTCCTCGAAATTATCAGGGATGATTCCTTCACACTCAGAAAGGAGTTATAGGTCATTTTAAGTACTTCCGGTCACACCGGAAGTGAATTATAAAGACCGGAAGTTGTTTGAAATTGATAGATTTCACTCTTAAATGTGTTCTCACGTATTTTTAATAATTGATCTTAACACTTTTTTTCATTTAAAGTTGTTTTAGAACCTTATCGAAAATCGAACGGAAGACCAACTCGTTGCTCGCAACGAGATCTCATCTAGTTTTTATTACATTTGCATATCCACTGGTCTCTCCCACTATGAATCTGCAGGCTTCAACTGCGTTCATAGCACTATAAACGCAACTGCTTCTACTATGAGTGCAATTGCTCTATCACATTCGTGTAGAACAATCTCTACTACAATTGTATATTGTGTTGAGAAGTATATATATGAAATGTTTTGTAAGAGGAATAAAAATAAGTTTTTAATAATATTCTTTGAAAAAAAGGAAATTCAGAATATCTAAAATTGCTGATTCATATCTTTAAAAATTTAATTTTAGTCAATGTATTTAATTGTATAATAAAACTTTTTAAAAATTTAGAGAACGGCTATATTTTTATTTTTTCGTATCATGCATATTTGTACAAAGAACGATAACTCTTCACACTTGTGTAATAACTTTCAGAAAGAGAAAATTTAACTAGTATATCTACTTCAAGAATGATTTCAGCTATTAAAAATATATAGAAAAACTAAAAAAAAATCATAGAAAAGCATTCTGGAGTAATAATCATTATAAAAGCATTCTCATTTTTCCATCAGAGATTTAAATTATTGATCTTTGTCGGAGGGTTTCAATAACGTTGATCGATGACGTCACAACTGCATCAAAACAAAAATTAAGAGAATGTGATGACGGCGCTGCTTGTATCCAGATAACTGTGTTTGAGAGGGAAATACTTAATATATATTTTGTGATTTATTAGAGAAAAGGATCATTGATCAGGTGTAGTGATTTTAAAGCCGTATGTTTTTCATTACTAAAGACAAGAAGCTGCGTCAGGATTTCCTCTGATATTCTTGAAAAACGCAAAGAATGCAAATATAAGTAATAAACAACGATTATTCAGTGAACATGGTATTATGAATAGCAATAGCTCTGCTGGCATATTATCCATGATGCGCTAGCGCGCATCATGGAATATGCCAGCAGAGCAATTGCTATTCATAACACCATGTTCACTGAATAACGTTGTTTATTTCTTAAATGTATATTTATGTACGTATATCAATATTTATTCGTATGAGAAAATCTACACTCAAAAAGAAAACCGGTCCCGCGTCGTCACCTTTGCCCTCTAGCAATTTACAGTCAATCAGCAAAGATCAGTTGAAAGAGTCATATCATAAAAGGGAAATAGAAAACATCTCCAGGGTCAACACAAATAAGGTCACAAGAACGACCACAATTTTTGTTGTCATATCCATCGTATTTGTTGTAAGTTATCTTCCCTTTTTTGTTGTCATGGTTACAAGAAGCATTAAGACAAACTTTGAGAGCATTTTATCGCCAGGAGTCGAGGTGTTGTATAAGTTTTGTTTGAAATCGTACTTTATTAACAATGCAATCAATCCAATCATTTACGGCTTTCTAAACAGGAATTTTAGGGCGGAGGTGATTAAAATTATAATGAAATGTAAATAAACATTAAAGAGTTCATTTAATAAAATATTATAAAATAGCAAAAAGACTGACGCCTAAAACTGTCGTAGACTTTATATTTATTAATATGTTCTGTCATTTTATAAAGTAAATGAAATTCTGTAAACCAATTTTTCTCCAGTATTGCGACTAACTAAAAGTCGCGAATATTAATCGTTATATCGATCGAACCATTCAATTTGCTTTTGGTTTGAAGAAAATGTTTCCTTATTTGTGACAATTAATCGTCTTGAATGAAATTACGCGAATAATAGTTTGTTCACAGTAATAATACATGTACACGGTTATAGATATTCTTTCACAGTCAAAAACAAATACTCTATACAAGATTAAAAGGCATGGAGAGAAATAAGTCACAAGTCGTCGAGGATTTCTACAAATTCTACTTAAAGTATTTCTTCACAAATAACAATTTTGATCAATATTTTGATCAATATTAAAAAAAAATTAATTTCCATTTGTCTAAATTCAAAGTTGGTAAGCATAAAAACAAAATCTTTATGGGCCACAACGCTCACCTGAGTAACTTTAACCTTGATGTTCTGAACCTGATTACCCTTATGTAAAAGTAATACCTATTGTGGCCTCGGCTTACCCCCAGGGGTCATGGTTTGAATAATTAAAAATCTGTATCATCTCATAGTGCTTACACATAAGATTTAGCTTGTCTGGCCCTGTGGCTCTTGAGAAGAAGATTTTTTAACGAACCCAGCCTATGTTGGCCTTTTCTTGATTATCTTCTCTTGGAAGATGTCTAAGCCTTTCTAAAAATTATTTAAACTCCCCTTTCACCCAAGATTGCTTTGTACAATTTTGGTTGAATTTGGACCGCAGAGAAGAAAGTTGAAACTGTGATAAGTTTAAAGACAGAACACAGGCAACAGCTGATTAGAAAAGATAACTGTAAAATATTAATGTTTTGGCACTTTGTTCTCTATTTTTCACTCCTGATATACATTTCAGAACAGTGAAACACAGATCTAAATCTGCAGTTTAAAGCAAAATTCTTGATGTATTAATACATAACGCATATTGTTACACGTTGGCTATATAAATAGTACATGTAGTTCCATTTCATCAAAACGTGGCAATATTATCTCATATTTGTTCAACAATACTTTTTACGAAAATGCATAATATTTCGTATCTATGTTTTAATAAGCAAAATCACCAAACATTCGATATTATTCGAAAAATGTTAATGTTTATTAAAATGTATAACAGAAAAGACTGTATAACGCTGAAACATCTTAATACATTAAGGCCATACGAAACGTAGTTTGTTAACTTTTTGGGGTTCTTCCCTGGAGTTGAAGAGTTCCACTAAATGAGGGACCTGTGTGCAATACATTTAATGTTGAAATATGGACTTGTACACCTCTTCTAAAACAATTTTTGATGGAAAAAAATCTGGAATTTATGTTTTGTAATTTTTGTACATTTTTCTTTGAATGCACAATTTGATACCTTTTCAAAACCCCTGGAAACGCATGCTGGTTTTTTGTCTAAGAACATGTAATGGTATTGTAAGCTTAGATTAAGAAAATCTTGAAAAATTATCAGTAGTTGAGGTAGGTTGCGTATATCCTTAACTTAATTAAAAGAAACTTGCTACATATACCAGGTTAATCCTCCTTTCTAACGACAGCTTCTGCATCTCGGGGTTTATTCTAAATATTTTCACGGACAATCGAAATTGAAGACTAAAATGTATGTATCATTAGAATATATAACAAGAATATATGACATGGTTTTCTTCTCCTACAAGTATTTGTTTGCACTTTAAATTATTTTTCAAAAAGTGTTGAATATTTTGAATATTAATTAATATTTTATCAATATAAATCTCATAATTCACTCATCTAGTCATTCTAAACAACAACTCAAATAGTTGTGATATTTTACAGATTGAAACAGGAATGACAAGAAAGATAGGAGGGGTAGAGTGTGATCGTCCTGATCAATATCTTTCAATCAAAGGAGTCTTAGCGTATCGGAAAACTGTACTTGTATACATACGTGTACTTTAATGTGCAGCACACTGACATATACCTCGCCAGACACACGGAAGTAAAAATGGAAATTTATATAATGAGGGATATTGTATACTGCTGTAGTAAATGGTACTATGAGGATAAAAAAGTCTCACCGATCTAGATTTAGACCTCATCAAATTTATTACTAAATTAGAGGTACTGTGAGCAATGGGCTCACTAAATGATACCCCCGCCTCCCATATGAAAATAATGGCAGTGTCCATGTTTTGCTCTGAAAAATCAAAAAGATATATTAGATCAAAAAGTAAAATAGGAGGTGCACAATGGCAATATGTAATTAAGAATCTGTGAAAGTTTCATTAAATTTCCTTCAGTGGTATGAGAGGAGTTGCGGACAAGAGATGGTAACCCCAAAGCGTAACAGACGGACGGACGGACGGACATACCGATTACTATAAACCCTCCCACTTTTCAAGCGGGGGGGTATAATCATACCTCCCTGTCTATTATATATATTTTTTACAATGACATATTTCCACTTGACATTTGTCCTAGATACAACCAGATGTGTATTTCAGAAGTATCTATACTTATCTGAAGGATTGAAAATTCATCCGTTGGATACATGGCTTTTAAGGAGGCTGGTGGGGTCAACAAATTAACCATAAATTAACACCAGATTTAACTTATTTTTTAGATACGGTATCTTAAGCTGTCAACTATCATTTGACAAAGAAAAAATTCATACACTTAAGTTTTAAAATTTGATCAGTTTTCTATACCTTTATATGAAGTTCTTCTTTTATAGAAGGTCAAAATAGTCTAAAAATGGCTGCCACACCCCAGCCTCGTTAAAAAGACGATAATTTGTTATCGTCAACGATGAATACCTTAAATATGACTTCTAATGTAAACAGATCTCTAGGTTATAACGATTCTTTTGAAATTTCATCAACCCTCGATCCATACTTGATTCTGAAGGGGTTAAATAATGAAGCGGCTTTACGGTTCCTACCTGTTACCCTATTCCTCGTTATTCTAATGGTCATTGGAACAGCAAATAAGGTGTGTTTGTGTGTGTGTGTGTTGATGGGAGAAGGGCAATGTCATTGAAGGTATTATTTATACAAGGAGAAGAAAGAAGTCCACTTCTGATTTCTTTATTCTTAACCTTGCTTTTTTGGATCTCTTAACCTGTGCTATAGGAATCCCGATGGAAATAGCAGATCTCAGTTTTTCTTACACGTTCGACGCACCAGCAGCTTGTAAGATCTTGAGAACCATTGAGTCTTGGACCAGCATGGCCTCGGCTTTGACCCTTGTGATCATTTCTATAGACAGACACAAACGGATCTGTAAGTTTGGGGATAATTTTAGCAACAAAGCGGTGAAAAGGCTTTGCCTTCTTGCATTGTTAGTTGGTGCCTTGCTGGCATGGCCAGCGTTGATAATAGTTGGAAAGAAAACGATAGACCTAGAAATTCCGGGGGTAAAAGGAGCTGATTGTTCAACTTCTGATGAAATGAAGAAGACTGTATATCCCCTCATAAAACATTGCTGTGACTTCATGCATTTGTTCTTGCAGTCTAAAAATTTACTTTAATGTTTTTTTTTTGTCTAAGAACATGAAAAGATGAATATGATAAATCGTTAAAAATTATCAGTGCAGGTAGCCGTCCAATAATAATAATTACCAGTCTGATAATATATTATCGGACGGCAATGATAACAAAATCGGACGGTGTTTAAAAAACAAAAAGAAGAGTGAAATTGAGGTTTAATATGTCCAGAAACCCCCAATAAAAATGTTAGGAAAAAATTCAGGGAAAGCAAACGCAAGGAATTTAAGTGGCTACAAAATAGCAAATCCATAAAAAAAAATCCGTGTTTATACATTCCATAACATTAATAATTTCCACTCTTTAAAAGAATTTTTGATACAGCACTTTGAATAAACGAATTTAAATCCATTTCTGAAAAAGAGTTGTTGTTCCCCGATGGCCACACTTTTAAAACCTGAGAATATTTCCATTATCTAAACTGAAACTTCAGGGTAAAAATCCGCATTTTTACTTTCCATGGTGATGGTTATAATATCACCCAAAATTATGTCAGTATCAATGTCAATTTATGCACATCATAAATAAAAATGTTCCCCCCCAAAAATCCTTCACCACCGGACCCCTGTCCTGCTTAACTGAACCTGAACGACTGCCATTGAATGGATGAAATTAAACAACAGTTCACTCACTTTTTTACTGTCTAGTCTCTTTTATCTACTTATCAGACGGGTAGAAAACAAGATGCCTAAACTCCTATTGTGCACTCTTCAGGTAACTTTTGGACATTTAAATAGCAATGTTTTAAGTAAGATATATGCCTCATACTATTCTATATGTAAAATTATCAAGGCTTTGCCCTAACGGGCCTCAAACAGTCTGATAATTTTACATATAGAACAGTATTCGGCATATATCCATTACATATATTACGGTGTAATCATGCTATGCTTTATTGTCTGTGTTGTTTTCGTCATATTTGTTTATGTAAGAATATCAGAGAGCTAAAATAGAGAGAAGGAAAGTGATTGGACCAAATGAAGTAAGCAACACTACTCTTAGCCTGCATCAAATACCATTAATGAACGTCAATATCAACCATTTCGAAAGCGTGCATTCCACCCCGAGCAATGAAGACGATATAAATGGAACCGAACCTGCGCATGCTCGGGTCACAAAACAGACTTCCGCAGTAAAGGTCACCAGAACGATCACCATCTTTGTCGCCATCACCATCGCGTTTATTGTGAGTTATCTCCCTTTTTTGGCAGTCATGATTTTACGGAATGTCGTAAAAGGTTTGGAGAAAGATATATCACCAGTGGGAGAGGTTTTCTACATATTCTGCTTAAAATCTTTCTTCATCAATAATGCGATAAACCCACTGATTTACAGCTTCCTCTGTAGAAAGTTCAAACAAGACGTGAAAGCATTGTTTAAGTGCAAACTTGTCAGGTAGAACCTCACTAAACACTGAAAACGAGGCACAAAAGAACTATGTTCATCATGAATGAGAATAGAACTCTTTTAAAACTGAGTGTTTTCTCTACAATTCATTCCTTGTAACTATTATTCTACATAAAAGAACATGTAGAAAAAAACATGTCGCCTTTTGCGAAAATTTTTAAAGAAGTTATGTACAGGTTGTGTCCTAAAAAATTTAATGTTCTTAAAAAGTTATAAAATTGGCTTTAATGTGAGATGAAAAGATGAATATGATAAATCGTTAAAAAATATGGCATGGTGGATGACCATTCTGGAAATATGACACCATTAATATGGTTTTATGCAGAAGAGCCTTAAAATGACTCATTTCTGTGGTTATTACGATTAGTAGGTTTTAATGAATGGAATTTTAATAATTCAGAAAGGATAAATGAAATTTCTTTTATAACCTTCTTATTTTGTATTTAAAAAACGGGCCAAATTTGTATTGACATCGTACATCGTTCTCTGCAGCGACCGACAGCAGTGCAATTATATGTATCTGCGCGGGCATCACACAACGACCGAGTTCCTTGTAATTAAAGATTCTTTATTGTAGATACTTTGAAGAAATTTCTTATGGTGATGATTGTACCATTTGGCTATGCATTTATTTTGTAGTATTTGCCATTGAAATAATTGTCAATCCTGACAATAAAATTACATGAACATGTACTTCATTTATAAAACTTATAGAGTAAGTAAAAAATTAAAGTTTAATAAAAAAAATGTTATCGAAATCTTTTCCTCTATAAATCTGTTTTCAAACATTGTGCATGTAAATATTATAACATTTATTTACATCATATACGGCTTATTTATTTTAATTTTGTTGAGATTGAATTTATACACGGAAATACTTATTAAACATGTATTTTAATTAATAATTTATGTTCCTATAAAGTCGTCCTTTACAGTATAGGATAACTTTTGAATTTTTATCAATGTTATTTTTGGATTTTAGCATCAATTAAAAATTAAGAAAACAGGAAGCAAGGCCAAATTCTTTTTGTTTTGTTTTGTTTCAGACCCTATCCTTCCTGATTTTTTTTATGCAACCAAACTGTTACAGGAAATATAATGAATGTATAGCTGAGCGCCACGTACCTACCATTCAATGTTTTCGCCTCAAGAATACCACACCGATAAAATCATTGTGGCCATTTCTACGTACACAACATTCCTTTCCTGCAAACCCTCCTTTTGTGTACATGTATAAAAGGTACATTAGAAAAAAAACATGACAACTATAAGGTATAAAATAAAATTGAGAATTTGTTTGGAATGGGGGGGGGGGGGTGGTGGTGGTGGTGTTAGTTCAAATTCCTTCAAAGCCAAATTTTATTTAATATATTACTAAATTACTATTATTTAAAGGTACTTGGACACAGATTTGAAGTTAATATTTTCTCATTTTTTCTGTATAATATCACAAATTGTATATTTTGATAGTATTTCACACAAAAATTAATTAAAAATCTTATTTCATTTAAAAGTTATTAAAACTTTAAATTTTTTGGCGGGTTTGATTGACACATCCTTGCACTTTCACAAATTTTAACTTTATTCTTAATCCTTAGGAAAATTGGCAATTTTGCCAAATTTTATTTAATATATTACTAAATTACTATTATGTGTTTTAATGAGAAATATTAAAACTTCTATCAAGAAAAATAATTTTATTCAGAGTAGAAATGTTAGAAAGCAAAACACCTTCACAAGTATCGTCATTCCGAACTAAGAGATGCGTACAGAGTTTAGCAAATCGAGCACACTCGTGTTATGTACACAGTTTTTGTAAACAGGGGCTGGAGTTCTGTTATTGTTTATATTTAGAAATCACCGGGTGCGTTCAATCGTCATAGTCTGCTTACCACAACTGCACGGACTGACAATATATTGTGTGTTTGTTTTGCTTTCAAACATGTCTACTCTAAATTTTCTGGATTATAGTATTAATATTTTTTATTTATACAAAACGAGATTGCCACTTTTCCAAAGGATTAAGAATAAAATTAAATTTGTGAGAATGCAAGGATATGTCAATCAAACCCGCCGAAAAATTTGAAATTTCAATATCTTTTAAACGAAATAAGATTTCTAATTAATTTTTGTGTGAAATGCTATTAAAATATATAAGTCGTAATATTATAGAGAAAATAATAAACTTCAAATCTGTGTCCAAGTACCTTTAACATCAGTACAACATAAAGTATGTGCATGGGTTAGTGGGAAGTCGGAAGGGGATGGGGCATCAAGCCTTTCAATTGAAATTTTCATACGTGAAGGGTTTGTTTGCAAGAAGGGGCAGCCCCGTCCCATATTCTGTGTACCTGCAATTTATTATATCTGTTTTAGTGTTGCCCTACTTCAGTACAATGGATTGTCATACACATCCATTTGTAACGTCTGAAAGGTTACATGTTTTGAACAGTTATTTTTCATGCAAGTATACTTCTAGTACATAAAAGGTTAAATACATGTAAATGTTTCCCGATTTTGCTAACCATATCATATAATAATTGTTAATACTTCCTGTTTTAATAAATGCAAACTGAATTTGTATACCTGTTCCACTTCACAGTAAATTCAGTTGAAGAAAGTATACTTTTATAAAGGATTATTTTCTGGTGGTTTTTGTAAAAATTATCATAGATTGACCTTTCTGTCTTATTATATCTAGACAAGAATATGAATTCAACAGGAACCACTGACAATACATCTTCATTGTCTGATCTAGACCTGGCTATTTTGCTCCAGGAACTTAATGACAAAACAGCATTAAGATTTCTTCCGGTTATTATCTATATGGCACTACTGATGTTAGTGGGGACATTCGGAAATATCATGGTATGTATTGTCTATCTACGGAAAAGGATGAAGAATTCATCGGATTATTTCATCCTTAACTTGGCCTTTCTGGAACTCCTTACGTGTGTTATTAGGATTCCTGTGGAAATTGCCGACCTCCGACATCCATATATGTTCTACGCACCAGCCGCTTGTAAACTTTTGAGAACGATAGAATCGTTTTCGAATCTGGCATCCACTTCAACTCTTACAGTTATAGCATTGGATAGATATAAACGTATATGCAAATTGGGGAAGCGATTTTCCAAACAGGAAGCCAAGTGTCTGTGTATCGCTGCTGTAGTTATAGGCGCCATGACCGGATGGCCCGCCGCAGTGGTGTTTGGGAGGAAATCTGTTGACGCGGGAATCCCAGGCGCCATTGGAGTTAGATGTTCGACTGCAGACATAATGAAAAATACAACATATCCATTATTGTTCTTTGGGTTCATTGCTCTGTATTTCATTGTCTGTGTTATTTTTATTATGTTTATTTATGTGCGTATATCAATATTTATTCGTATGAGAAAATCTACACTCAAAAAGGAAACCAGTCCCCCATCGTCACCTTTGCCCTCTAGCAATTTACAGCCAATCAGCAAAGGTCAGTCGAAAGAGTCATATCATCAAAGGGAAATAAAAACCATCTCCAGGGTCAACACAAAAAATTTCACAAAGACGACTACGATTTTTGTTGTCATATCCATCGTATTTGTTGTAAGTTATCTTCCCTTTTTTGTTGTCATGGTTACAAGAAGCATTAAGACAAACTTTGAGAGTATTTTATCGCCAGGAGTCGAGGTGTTGTATAAGTTTTGTTTGAAATCGTACTTTATTAACAATGCAATTAATCCAATCATTTACGGCTTTCTAAACAGGAATTTTAGGGCGGAGGTGATTAAAATCATAATGAAATGTAATTAAACGATAAAGAGTTCATTTAATAAAATATCATAAAATAGCAAGAAGACTTTGACGCCTCTACTGAAAGTATTTCTTCACCAATAACAATTTTGATCAATATTTAAAAAAAATCTTTAATTTCTTTTTGTCTAAATACAGAGTTGGTAAGCATAAAAACAAAATGCTTATGGGCCACAACGCTCACCTGAGTAACTTTAACCTTGAGGCTCTTAACCTGATTACCCTTATGTAAAAGTAATACCTATTGTGGCCTCGGCTTACCCCCAGGGGTCATGGTTTGAATAATTAAAAATCTCTTTCATCTCATAGTGCTTACACATAAGATTCAGCTTGTCTGGCCCAGTGGCTCTTAATAAGAATATTTTTTTAACGAACCCATCCTATGTTTGCCTTTTCTTGATTATCTTCTCTTGGAAGATGTCTTGGCCTTTTTTAAAATTATTTAAACTCCCCTTTCAGCCAAGATTGCTTTGTACAATTTTGGTTGAATTTGGACCGCAGAGAAGAAAGTTGAAACTGTGATAAGTTTAAAGACAGACGACAGGCACCAGCTGATTAGAAAAGATCACTGTAAAAATAGTAATGTTTGGCACTTTGTTCTCTATTTTTCACACCAAATATACATTTCAGAACAGTGAAAAACAGATCTAAATCTGCAGTTTAAAGCGAAATTCTTGATGTATTAATACATAAAGCATATTACTATACGAATATAAGGAACGTTGGCTTTATAAATAGTAAATGTAGTTCCATTTGATCAAAACGTGGCAATATTATCTCATATTTGTTCAACAATACCTTTTACGAAAATGCATAATATTTCGTATCTATGTTTTAATAAGCAAAATCACCAAGAATTCGATACTATTCGAAAAAATGTTAATGCTTATTAAAATATATAACAGAAAAGACTGTATAACGCTGAAACATCTTAATATATGTAGTTTGAACTTTATTGGGTTCTTCCCTGGAGCTGAAGAGTTCCACTAAATGAAGGACCTGTGTGCAATACATTTAATGTTGAAACATGGACTTGTACACCTCTTCTAAAACAATTTGTGATGGAAAAATATCTGGAATTCATGGTTTGTAATTTTTGTGCATTTTTCTTTGAATAATGCACAAATTTTCACAATTTGATATCTTTCCAAAACCCCTGGAAACGCATGCTGGTTTTTTTTTTTTTTGGTCTAGGAACATGTAATGGTATTGTAAGGTTAAATTTAGAAAATCTTGAAAAATTATCAGTAGTTGAGGTAGGTTGCGTATATCCTTAACTTAATAAAAAAAAAACTTACTACATATACTAGGTTAATCCTCCTTTCTAACGACAGCTTCTGCATCTCGGGGTTTATTCTAAATATTTTCACGGACAATCGAAATTGAAGACTTAAATGTACGTATCATAAGTATATAAAACAAGTATATATGACATGGTTTTCTTCTCCTACAAGTATTTGTTTGCACTTTAAATTATTTTTAAAAAAGTGAATATTTTGAATATTAATTAATATTTTATCAATATAAATCTCATAATTCACTCATCTAGTCATTCTAAACAACAACTCAAATAGTTGTGATATTTTACAGACTGAAACAAAAATGACAAGAAAAATAGGAGGGGTAGAGTGTGTTCGTCCTGATCAATATCTTTCAATCAAAGGAATCTTAGCGTATCGGAAAACTGTACTTGTATACATACGTGTACTTTAATGTGCAGCACACTGACATATACCTCGCCAGACACACGGAAGTGAAAATGGAAATTTATATAATGAGGGATATTGTATACTGCTGTAGTAAATGGTACTATGAGGATAAAAAAGTCTCACCGATCTAGATTTAGACCTCATCAAATTTATTACTAAATTAGAGGTACTGTGAGCAATGAGCTCACTAAATGATACCCCCGCCTCCCATATGAAAATAATGGCAGTGTCCATGTTTTGCTCTGAAAAATCAAAAAGATATATGTCAGATCAAAAAGTAAAATAGGAGGTGCACAATGGCAATATGTAATTAAGAATTTGTGAAAGTTTCATTAAATTTCCTTCAGTGGTATGAGAGGAGTTGCGGATAAGAGATGGTTACCCCAAAGCGTAACAGACGGACGGACGGACGGACGGACGTACAGCAGACGGACAGACGGACAGACGGAAATACCGATTACTATATACCCTCCAACTTTTCAAGCGGGTGGTATAATCATACCTCCCTGTCTATTATATATTTTTTTACAATGACATATTTCAACTTAACATTTGTCCTAGATACAACCAGTTGTGTATTTCAGAAGTATCTATACTTATCTGAAGGATTGAAAATTCATCCGTTGGATACATGGCTTTTAAGGAGGCTGGGGGGGGGGGGTCAACAGATTAACCATAAATTAACCACCAGATTTAACTTATTTTTTAGATACGGTATCTTAAGCTGTCAACTATCATTTGGCAAAGAAAAAATTCATACACTTAAGTTTTAAAATTTGAGCATTTTTCTATATCTTTATATGGAGCTCTTCTTGAGACATAAAGTTAACATTAAAGAGAACAGGAAATAATGCAGAATTCTTTTTTTTCTACACCTCTTTCTTCCTGATTTTTTTATGCAACCAAACTGTATCAGGAAATATAGTAAAAATTAATGTAAAGCTGAGCGCTACGTACCAATCAATCAATGTTTTTGCCTCTAGAATACAACACCAATAAAATCATTGTTGGCATTCCTACGTACACAACATTCTTTTCCTGTAAACCCCCTCCTTTGTAGTAGAAAGGGTACAATAGATAAAATGAAAATGAAAGATAAAAGGTAAAAATAACTTTGAGAAGGAGGGGGGGTGTTCTAAATTTCCTCAAAATGTCAAATTTTATTTAAAATGCATTATCAAATTACTAACATTTAACTTTGGTACAACAAAAATATGTGGATTGGTAGGTGTGTGTGTGTGTGTGTGGGGGGGGGGGCAACAAGAAAGGTTTTTTTGCAAAGAAAGAGCTAGGGCAACCCCTCCCCCTACTGTGCACTTGCATTTTATTATAATTGTTTTAAGTCACTCTACGGCTATTGACCCTGATCTTTTTTATGAGCTTGAATATATACCAGTATGAAAAAGGGGATCGTCTAGCATTCTTTGTCTCTAATATTGATATATACTTCCTCTTGTCATTAAGTCCGCAAATGTCAAGACTTGGCACTTAAGGTCAGACGAGACGTTCCTCAAAATCTGTTTTGTTTATCTTTGTAATGTATGGAAAATATTCAAAATTTTAATTACATTTTGATTTCTAAACCAGTTTTTAAACGTCTTTAAAAAATCCAAACACTTAAACATTTGATATTGGAAAATTATTTTTCCTCCAAAAAGTATTATAAGAAAACCTACCCCTGGTATCTTGCAGAAATGCCTGGTAAGGTACACCAAATTTTTGTGAGTAAACATGTTTAAGTAGCAATACTTCAATGACAAAATCATGGAAAATTTTATCTATTATTCGTCTGTCCTTAACTACAGGGATCTTTTAAAGAAAGGTCTATGCACGTACAGCTAACCCACGCTTTAAAGAAATAAATCACACGTAACTTAGGCTAAAAAAGTATATTTCTCAGACTCCGCAAAAAGTAACAGGAAGAAAAAAATTAATGTATTATGTACTGATAACTTTCCATACACACCGCCTATAAGACTTTTTTTTCTTCAGCCTATCTAAAAACCGTAAGATTTCAATTGATTAAAGAAATGTTTCTGTTGCTAGGCAAGGATAAATGATAAAGGATATGCCCGTCAATAAGTAACAAGAAAACTGATTTTAAAAAGTATTTCAAATTATCTCGAACACACTAAAAGGTCTCCGAAATAAAGGAAAGAAAGAATGACAGACTCACGATATACCACATTTAATGTTAATCAGTCCGGGACTATTTCTGATGTTGATGCCAGCAGACTTTTACAGAAACTTAACGACGACAAGGCTGTACTATATATACCCGTCATTGTGTACATGGTTCTACTGATGCTGGTCGGAATAGCGGGAAATCTGATGGTATGCCTTGTTTACATTAAGAAGAAATTCAAATGTTCTACTGACTTTTTCATTTTAAATCTGGCATTTCTCGATTTGCTGACTTGCTTCTTTGGAATTCCCGTAGAAATTGCAGATTTAAGGTATCCGTACACATTTGACGCTCCTGTCGCCTGCAAACTTTTCCGAACAGTCGAATCCCTTATCAGTATGGGTTCAACACTGACTTTGATTGGAATTGCTGTGGATAGATATAAACGGATATGCAGACTTGGAGAGCGCTTCTCTAATGGAACTGCGAAAAAGATTTGCGCTGGAGCAGTGATAGTCGGTATTTTAACTTGCTGGCCTGCGGCAGTTGTTTTCGGTAAGAAATCGGTGGACGTTGGGGTACCAGGAATTAAGGGGAGCGACTGCTCGACAGATGATACACAGCGACATACCGTGTATCCACTACTTTATTACGCTCTTGTTTTCCTTTATTTCTTAATTTGTGTCGCAGTAGTAACTTTCATTTATGTGAAAATTTCAATTTTTATCAGAAGAGGTAAGAATGATCTGATCAAGAGAAATTTAAACAGATATGAACTCAATGCTGAATTAACTACAACAACGGAAGTCAGCAATGATTCAAATGCGCATGCGCCATCAACATCTGGTGGATTCAAGGAACCAACAATGGTGAACACAATTAAAACTTTTAGAACAACCGTGATATGTATAGCCATTACAGTAGCTTTCATTGTTAGTTATCTACCGTTTCTCGTGGTCAGGGTCACAAGAAACATCAAGAAAGATTTCGAGAAGACCCTTTCATCTTCAACGGAAGTCGTCTACAAGTTTTGTTTGAAATCTTACTTTATAAACGACGCCATTAATCCTGTTATCTACAGTTTCCTCAATGCAGCATTCCGACAGGAAGTAGTCAGAAGATTCATATGTAAAGCATGCTATAAATAATCCAAACACTGACAGCTGGGAACTAGTTAATACCGTATTTCTCTGGAGTGTTTTTCTTGCATGTGAGAAAAATAATTTTTAATTGTCATAAAATCTTAATCATAATAATTATTAAAAGTTACATCACAATCATGCAAACTTTTACCTTGATATGTTAATTTAGAAATAGACCCTTTTTTATGACATATTTTGTCTGGGAGTTATTCCCCTTTGCCGCCATATTTTAGGGCAAAATATCCAGATCCCTTCATTATTCAACCAAGTTCAATTTGTTTTACTGGTTACTGAGGTAACAATAATGCTATTTTTCTTATGAATATACATTTGTCAAGGCTTCTATTAATTCATAATTTTAAAAATTGTACAAATATTTTTCCGCATATATTTCTTGCATGCACGTTTAAAAATTGGTTGCTCGAAGAGGTAAATTCACTACTTTGCCCTACAAGATGGCGGCTAAGGGGAATAACTCCTAGGCAAAATATGTCACAGGAAAAGGGTCTATTAAGAGACCCACATGTATAAAGCAATATGCGCTGCATTTTTTCCTTGTACACCGTATTGGAAGTTTAATTGTGACGTCATTGAAATTTAACAAGCCACAGAAAATTAATTAATGACATGATCATGCGTAAATAACAACTTGATTTTATTTATTTTATCAATTATTTATAAAATCTTGTAAAATTACAATACTTGATAGCAATACAGTCGACTAATGACGCAGTACCGGTGATCCTGAGGACTAGATCCATTGGTTTAATGATTACAATAACATGAATAATGCTCAAATAAATATGATTTAATCGCTAATTTTTAAACCTAATCATTAAAACTAAAAGAAAATAATTTATTAAAAACAATTTGTATAGAACATGAAATTATCTAGTGGTATTGGAGCTGCACATAGACAAGGAATTTAGAGAATAACATACAAATTTATTCGATATTGAGCAATGACAACTAGATATATGTTTCTATTTCTACGCATAGATGAATGATATAAAGTCCAACATTTATAAATGTGTCTCCGCGATAGATAACAGGGAAAGTGATTAGAAATCCATTGTATATTTTAATTATCGTTCACCTGTAAATACGCCCCTACAAAAAATAGTATAAGTTTCTCGATAATACACATACAGAATGTATAACGCTACCGAGAATATGTCGGGTAATGCCAGTGAACTTTTGCAGAAGCTGAACGATGAAAAGGCTATTTTGTATATTCCTGTGATTGTCTATATGGCAATACTGATGCTGATCGGAATAGTAGAAAACATAATGGTAGGCGCTGTTAATGTCAAAAAGAAAATGAAAACTTCACTGATTGTTTTATTTTGAATTTAGCAATTCTCGCCTTGTTGTACAAATATTTCAACCACCACCTTTCCGATGTACTCGCCGAAAAAGTTTTACAAAGAATGAGGCTGTAGACCACGGAAGGAAATCCCTGTTTTTGAATTTGATTGATCCTTTCGATTTTTATATAGGAAAAACTAGCAAGTAATCAATTCATTTTTCATGTACTTCTTGAAATAATAAATCATTTAATTCAACATTGAATCTTTTTATGATTTTAATTCTGAATTTATGAATGACCTGTCCTTTTAATATTCAAATCATTTATTTATATTTTTTAAATAATGAATCATTCATTTAACATTGATACTTTATGATTTTCATTTTCATGAATGACTTGTCCCTAAATTGATTTTTTTTGTTTATAAGTAAAAGCAAGGGTATTTCAGAGCCTTTTTGCCCACTTTAAAGTTAACATTTATTTGTTTGAGTCACTACTTCATATTTTTTACACAAACACTTGACCCACTTAAAACAATTAAAAATTGTTGCTGTATGCATTAGATACTTCAATACACGAGTCACTGTTTACGAGGAAAATACATAATAAAACTCACTAAAACAATTTTAAGTTCATATGGAATAATATAGTATTTAATTCTTTCAATCACTGATTTACTAAATATCAATTATAAAAGAAGAAAGAAGGTAAGAAATGTATGTAATACACGAGAAAAATCATCTCGTGGGGGGTGGAGGCATTTTCCTTACAATTATTACTTTTTTTCGAAATACGGAATTTGCTGTACTCATCTCCATATTAGAAAACTGGGAGAGGGGCCTCAAAATTAAAATTAAAAGACTTCAACTTACACAAAAAAGTATGCTCGGGAAAAAGTTGAGATCCTCCCGCCCCATTCTACGGGCCTGCAATCTATTATGATTGAAATGGTGTATCGAAATCAACTATGTTTTGCATGTTATTATTTTATTTAAACTCAGATTTTGCATTTAGGCCTAAGGCGCGAATCCAGCAGTTTTTTTTCAGGAGGGGGGGGGGGGGGGGTTCAATCCAAGTAAAAAAAAATCTAACCCAAAATATCCAATAGATCTGTGTTTTCAAGGAGGGTCTGTGTTTTCTAGGGGGTTGCAAGGTCACTTTTACTTGGTTAAATTAGTATATAATTTAATAACTCTGCAAATACATGAGGGGTTCCGGACCCCCCCCCCCCCCTAGATCCGCTCATGCATTTTCTGAGAGATTTAAACTTTATCCACATGAATTTCAATTGACTGAAACTGAAACCAAACGTACGTTAAATGTATATGTGTCAAAAGCCATTGTTCATCTGAAAGTGGTCATTTAAAATTCACTCATACGTAGTATTCACAGCAGGGGAGGATAAAGAACGAAATGATATAATGGGTCATATTAGTATAAATTGTTCAAAAATATGGTTAAAATTGACGGATTAGCGACATGTGAACTTTAATCATGACAAAACATTGATATGTCAATCCGTGCGGAGGTCCCTGACATTTTATTTTATCAAGTTTATATCTATATGTACATGTTCTACTGTTATCCATGACCATTAAGGTACAAACGTGGTATAGAGCTAATACTTAACTCTATTTTATCTCAATTGGTTATATCATAACATTCATGTTTTTACATGTGGAGCTTCAAACCCGAGTATTCAATACACAAAACTGTCCGGGTATTTGAATTGTCGACCTACTTTGATATATAATCCCCTTGGAGGGTGCTTTATAAACATTTCTAACCGATTAGACACTCTTTTGTACCTAAAACTAAAGAAAGAGATTTAAAGCGCAGAGTGGAAGGACACCTTAAAACGAAGCCGCTGAAAAAAAAAACCTTGGTACATGAGAGTGCATTTTGTGTTATCTATAAGGGGAACTTTAAATGTTCAGAAATCAGAGGGGTATTTCCAACATCGACAAAAATTTGACAGAAGGAGAATAAAGAGTCCACTGTGTTAAAAACTCGTAAATCTTCGCCATAAGGAATTAATTATTATGTAACTTCCTTGTTCTGTGTATAAAAAAATGTTCCGTATAATTCTCAAGTTGCGCCCTCTTGAAAGATCTCAAGATAAACCATAGATGAGGCTTTATACGGATTTCGTTGTGTCATTTTAAAGCTATGGAGTGTGTGGTTTGTCGAGCTTCATCAAGGGATTTTGTCGTCCCTGGCCTTCCTTCATTGACTTAATGTCAACATGACCAGTCACGCATGTTGGAATAAAAAGTTCCAGTAGAAAAGGAAAATGGAATTAAACACATCAACGGTTAATTTTTCAATTATTTTGGAAAATTCTTCCCATCCGGATCCATATATACTTTTAAAGGAATTAAATGACAAAGCGGCTTTGCGTTATTTACCTGTGATAATTTTTCTGTTCGTGTTAATGATCTGTGGAATAATTGGCAATATTCTAGTGTGTATTGTATATCTCAGAAAGAAAACGAAACTGTCTCCGGATTACTTTATTCTCACTCTAGCTTTCCTGGATCTCTTGACCTGTATTATTGGAATTCCGGTGGAAATAGCAGATTTACGCTATCCGTACATGTTCTATGCCCCCGCGGCATGTAAACTCTTACGAACCATAGAATCTCTCGGCCATGGGGTCAGCCCTGACCCTAGTGGCGATATCCATAGACAGATATAAACGTATCTGCAGACTGGGGCAGCACTTCAATAACTCTACCGTGAAGAAATTATGTGTCGGTGCAATAGTGATGGGGGCGGTCATTGGATGGCCCGCGGCGGTCGTGTTCGGGAGGAAAACTGTATACGTCGGACTTTCCAAAATTGAAGGCGAGGACTGCTCGACCGCGGACGAAATGAGAGACACGATATACCCCCTGCTTTACTATAGTGCAATAATGTTGTGTTTTGTCGTCTCTGTCATATTTGTGATTTTTGTTTATGTCCGAATCTCAATTTTTATTCGAAAAGGAATTTCTTTACGGAAAAACCGAGCGAGTGAAACTGTATCGACCTATTCCATGCATGTTCATTTTATAAATGACGAGAATACGAGTGGGTCGTCGCCTAGTCAAGCTCACCCCATGTTAGATGCCACGCCCAAAAATCGTAAACGACTAGTCAACAGTTTGAGAGTCACAAGAACGACTACCATCTTTGTTGCTGTGACGGTGGCTTTTATTTTGAGTTATCTCCCGTTTCTCGTTATTATGATCATTCGCCATGCGAAGAAGGATTTAGAAGAGTCGCTTTCTGATGATGCAGAAGTCGTGTACAAATTCTTTTCGAAATCTTATTTCGTTAATAATGCAATTAATCCTCTAATTTATAGCTTTCTGAACAAGAGATTCCGAACTGATGTCAAAAAACTATTTAGCTGTAACAGATGACTTACTTTTAAATGCTTTCAGTTAATTATAATTTTCTAATAATAATTTTCTTTGTTCTGATTTCTTTTACGTTAACTTTACTTTTAAAGGGACAAGACAAGATATTAATTAAATTTTAGATATATTAAGGATACACCAAAGGTTTCCAAAGGGCAAAATTTAATTTGCTTGTAATTCTTTCATTAACAAAGATAACATATTAAAAGTATATATCATTTGAAAGCTTGTTAAATATACTATTTAATTATTGTATTTTAAATTTCATTTTTGTCTTATTAAAAAAATATTAATATTTTAATGTAAATATTAGTGCATTTATATTTAATAAATCAACTTTTTTGTATTCCACCTCTCAAATTCAAAATTTTGTCTCAATGTAAATTAAAGATT